TCGCGAAAAAAAACCTCCCGTCGTGATTTTTGTCTTGCCTCGAGGGGGTCTGGGTGTGGAGGTATGGGTACCTCTTCCTCCTCTGACTGACCGCCGAGGCCAGCCTGTTTGCTCACGGCGTGGAGGTCTGGGCCCCTTCCCCAGCCAGGAGAGCAGAAGCACCGTGGGACCAACTCCCATCGCCGGGCCCGGGAGCGTGAGGACCCGAGCGGTGGCCAGCCCTCCAGCCCCAGGAGGGGCCTAGCGCGAGATGACATACAGTTGGGGCGTTGACCTGGGGAACCCCAAAATAAGGAACGGGGCCCATTTTTTTCCCCATGAGTTGAACTTCGCGATGTCCCATCGAACAGCTGAGGAATACCTATATAAGGCAACCTGCGAGACAACCAAGGGAAAGACTGAGCCCCTCCCAAACGAAAAGGGCTCCCTCTCCAGCGCCCTGACTGTCCGGACACAAACAACAAACAAACAAACAAACAAACAAAAAAGCATGGAAAACATACATATATATATGTATTCAAAATGCATAAACCTAAGTATATATATGATGTTGTGTATATACATCTATATATATATATATATTTATAAAAAAAAAAAAAAAAAAAAAAAAAAAAAAAAAAAAAAAAAAAAAAAAAAAAAAAAAAAAAAAAATCTTCCGCCGCCTTCCGCTGGCCTTCCGCCGGCTTCCGCCACGCGGAGGCGGCCTCGCCCTGCTTCCGCCGCCCCGCTCCGCCGCCCCGCCGCCGCCCTGCCGCCGCGGCGGAGGGGACCACTCCTCGACGATCCTCGAGGGCAAAGGTCCTGCGCGGAACGCCCCGCATGGCTCACGCGAGAGCTTACAGGGCAGTTTTTAATACACAGGATGTTTAAAAAATACTTGATTTTCATACATGGCTAATTTGGGAATAAGTTTATGCATGAACTCATCGTTGCTCTTAATAGAAGTCCCTGCATTTTTTATAAATGATCCGCACGCGGAGCATGTATGAAAAAACGGCACTGTACGCACGCAGGCCGGCCTTCCGCAGCGCGCCACACCGGCGACGCGAGCGCTCACGCGCGGCCCTGCGCGGAGAGCTCGCGCGCCGGCGTTCGCGCAAAATCGGCCTCGCTCTCCTCCGTCGCCCGCGCTCCTGCACGGTGCGGACCCTCAGAGGTCTGGACCCCCTCCTGGCTTTGTGGGCCCCGGAAACGGCAGGGCCGTTTTTTCACCGTTTCCAAAGAAATGTCCGTTGAAAATGGAAACAGCAAAAAAACGGCGACCGGACACGGCAAAAAAACGGCTCCAGGATTGGAACTGGAGCCGGAACGGGTCAAAAAACGGCGACGGAACCGGTAAAAAAACGGCGTCGGAACTGGCAAAAAAACGGCAGAACAGAACCAGTAAAAAAACGGCCCTGTCGTTTCCAGGGCCGACTAAGCCTCCTGGGCACTGGTGTTTCATCCCAGCTCGTTTTCCGACGTCCCCTGGGCCTGGTGAGTCCCGAGGGGCCGAACAATATTCCGCCGTGCACCTTGTTCATGGCCCGAGTGGGTCTCGGATCACAGTTTCGCCACCGCGGGAGCTCTCACACCGGATTCCAGGGATGGCGGGGAGTGGGTGGGGCTTCAATGAAGGGCTCCTAAATAAGGTCCGAAAAGATGGGGTCGGAGGAATGCACAGCATCGTCGACGCATCGCCGATGCATCAGCGATGCATCGGCGGCAACGTTGGCGACGCATCGCCGCCATCGGCGTTGAGAAAATCGGGCTCCGCATCGAGCCGCATTGCCGATGCATCGGCGACGTGGCGCGAATCCTCCGACTCCATCTACTCTGACCCCATCGAGGAGGCCTGCTATAACAGAAAGAGTGCTGGAGCGAAGAGTGGCGACGCAGAAGGCGCACAAGGGGTCTTGTGCAAGGGGTGCGTTTCTATCGTCGTTATTATGCGCCACTTCCTTCTTCTTCGTACAGGAATGCGCGCGCGGGTCCAATGCCAAGCGCATTCACAAGAGCCTCGCACAAGGAGCGAGTATTCACTCTTTTTACAATGGTAAAGGTGGGAACCCAAACCCCCGACGTCATGATGTCTTCATAACGTCGGCCCCTGGAAGTCTTGACCCATTCCCCTGGACCGGGCTTTCGTCCCGAGTCGTCTTTTGAAGGCCCCGAGGGCCGGCGAGGGCCCCCAGAGGCCGAAAATGGCAGCAACAACAACAACAACAACAACAACAACAACAACAAAAAACCTGCCGTCATGATGGTGTCATTACCCAGAGGGGGTCTGGGATGGTAGAGGTGGGAAGGGCATGTCTTCCTACAGGCGGATTCCGGAGGAAAAATTCAAAATGTTCAACAAATATTCAAACATGGTCAAAAAGAGTCGAACAAAAAGTCACCAGACTATTTTTTGTATTTTTGATTATTACTCCTTTAGAGGGATGTGGCCGAATTAATGCTAGAAGTGAGGAGTGGCAAGGGGGGGGCTCTTCGATCGACGAGCCTCTGCCCGCCCAGGCTGGCGGCCGCCCCCTCGTCGGCCGGGGCGGCCTGCGAGGCCGGCGACGCACGCAGAAGGCAGCTGCACACCACCGCCTTCGGACCTCCAACTTCGAGGACCCAGGCCCCCCCGAGACGAAGACGACGACGAGGACAACGACGACGAGGACGACGAGGACGAGGACGAGGACGAGGACGACGACGACGACGACGACGACGAGCCCAGACACCCTCGAGCCATGAAAAAATCACGACGGGGGAGTGTTCTCAATTTTCGGCCTCTGGGGGGCGCCTCCTGGGCCTAGGGACCGTCAGAAAACGACTCAGAGTGGGCACGAAAACCGACAGCAGTTCCTGTCCATTTTGAACAGGGTTCCCAGACCCCCCTCGAGTCATGAAAGAATCACGACGGAGAATTTTCTCATTTTTGTTCGGCCTCTGGGGGCCCCCACCGGGCTCCGGGACCGTCCGAGAACGACTCGGGACATAAAGCCGGGGACGGGGAATGGGTCGAGACCTCTGGGGGTCGACTTTATGAAAAAAGCATGACGTCGGAGGTCTGGGAACTTCGAACTTCGAGAATCGAGGTGTGTAGGAGTTCTTCGCCGTCGTTGGGCCTCTGGCTGGGTTCCCTCGTCGCCACGGCTGGATCTATCTCGACAGTCTGGCCAAAGCGCATCCATCCAAGCAGGATCTGGGGCCGATTTTTGACCCCCCCCAGACCGAGGCCTCCTTGCATCCAGCCCCCGGGGCCGTAGGCGACCCGAGGAGGAGAAGGAGGAGGAGGAGGAGGAGGAGGAGGAGGAGGAGGAGGAGGAGGAGGAGGAGGAGAAGGGAGCGGGAGAGGAGGGGGAGGAGGGAGTAGGAGGAGGAGGAGGAGGAGGAGGAGGAGGAGGAGGGAGGAGGGAGGAGAGGAGGAGGACGAGGAGGAGGAGGAGGAGAAGGGGGAGGGTGGAGGGGGAGGAGGAGATGGAGAGGAGGAGGAGGAGGAGGAGGAGGAGGAGGAGGAGGAGGAAGGAGGGGGAAGAGGGGGAGGAGGAGGGAGGAGGAGGAGGAAGGAGGAGGGAGGAGGAGGGAGGAGGAGGAGGAGGAGGGAGAGGAGGAGGAGGAGGAGGACGAGGAGACGAGGAGGAGAAGAAGAAGTAGGAGGAGGGGGAGGAGGAGGAGGAGGAGGAGGAGGAGGAGGAGGAGGAGGAGGAGGAGGAGGAGGAAAGAGGAGGAGGAGGACGGGTCGCCTAAGCCCTTCGGAGAAACGCTCCACCGAGGCCCCCTCGCATCGAGCAAGCCGCGCGCCGGGGCGTCGGAGCACGGCTCGGGACGGAAAACTGGTCCAGGGGGGCGGGGCCCCAAGAGGCACGAGGCGGCCCCGAGAGGCCCCCAAGAAGGCCTGCGGAGGGGCCAGACGGCGCTAGAGCGCCCCAGGACGGCCCATGAGGCCCACCACGAAGCCCCAGGGAGCAGGGAGAGAGGCCCACTAAAAAGCCCCCGAGGGCCCCCAGGAAGCCTGCACGAGGTCGAGACCTCCTGGGGCCCATGCCGTGGAAAAAAATCCGACGTCGGGGATCGGGGACTGTGCGGCCACGGACCTCCTCCACGCGCAGTGCCTACCCGAGGCCGGGAGGTCCTGCGCACTCACCGTGCCGAGGCCCAGAAGGGCTCCCGGCCTGGCACGGCGGCTGTGTGCAGATGCCGTCTGCGGATGACGTGGCGTCCGGGCCCTGCGCGTGGGACGACCCAGACATCATCCGCCTGCGGGCACGCCCGAAGAGGAGGAGGAGGAGGAGCAGCAACAGCAGCAGCAGCAGAAGCAGCAGCAAACGGAGGAGGAGGAGGAGGAGGAGGAGGAGGAGGAGGAGGAGGAGCCCGGCGTACCAGGAGCAAGAGGAGGCGGAGGAGGGGAGGGAGGAGGAGGAGGAGGAGAGGAGGAGGAGGAGGAGGAGGAGGAGGAAGGAGGAGGAGGGAGGAGGACGAGGAGGATGAGGAGGATGGAGGAGGATGGAGGAGGAGGAGGAGGAGGAGGAGGAGGAGGAGGAGGAGGAGGAGGAGGAGGGAGGGGAGGGGGCGGAGGATGGAGGAAGGAGGAGGAGGGAGGAGGAGGAGGAGGAGGAGGAGGAGGAGGAGTGAGGAGGATGGAGGAGGAGGAGGAGGAGGAGGAGGAGGAGGAGGAGGATGGAGGAGGAGGAGGAGGAGGAGGACCAGTGCAAACCCAAGAGTCATCAACGATGTTGGAATCAACCATCCCTCCAAGCTCCCTCTTCATAGGCCCCTACAACGGTTCATTTCCATTGAGGGAACTGCCTCGTTGAAAGACAACCGTTTGAAGACCTTGAAGCATACCGAAACATCGCTCTCGAGATTTCCACGCCACGGATCAACCTGACTGCTGCGGCCTGACGATCTGGAATCGCACCGGAACGCCAACTTGGCGACTTCAACACTGCGAACCAACATAACTGTTGCACCCGCATCATCCTGAATCCTCCCTAAGCCCTAAACACAATGTCTGGTACGTTGATCATGGGAACCCGTGAAACTCTTCAAGTGTTTTAAACGAATGTTCGCAAACGCTACGGCGAGAGCCACATGTTGAAAAGGAACCGTCCTCGATCTGTGAAACTGTTGCAAAAATTTAAAACGAGTGTGCCCGGCGCTAAGGCGAGAACCACACTTTGAAAACCACCCGCCCTGAATCCGTGAAACTCTTGCAATTGTTTGAAACGAATGTGCGCGGCGCTAAAGCGAGAGCCACATTTTGCAAAAGAACCGAATCGGCCCGCCCTCCATCTGTGAAACTGTTGCCGTTTTCAGCTTCAGAGTCATAATGGTGAGGAAGTCTCAGGCGGCACGAAGGAATGGAGGAGGAGGAGGAGAAGGAGGAGGAGACGGGGGATGGGGGAGGGGGAGGAGGGGGAGGAGGGGAGGAGGAGGAGGAGGAGGAGGAGGAGGAGGAGCAGGAGCGGAGGAGGAGGAGGCGGAGAGGACGAGGACGAGGAGGTAGGAGGACGAGGGGAGGCGAGGAGGAGGAGAAGTGGGAGGCGTTGGAGGGGGAGGAGGAGATGGAAGAGGAGAGGAGGAGGAGGAGGAGGGAGGAGGCAGGAGGAGGGGGAAGGGGAGGGGGAAAAGGAGGAGGAGGAGGAGGAGGAGGAGAGGAGGTGGAGGAGGGAGGAGGAGAGGAGGGAGGGGAGGAGGAGGAGGACGAGGAGAGGAGTGAGTCGGGGAGGCGGAAGAGGAGGGGAGGAGGAGGAGGAGGAGGAGGAGGAGGAGGAGGAGGAGGAGGAGGGGAGGAGGAAAAAAAGGAAGAGGAGGAAGAGGAAAATGGGGACGAAACAGCTGAGCTGGGGGCGGTGCCCAACTGAGCGAGCGCCGTCCAAAACCGGCAGGCTGCCGCTGGGCACAAGCGGCGCCTGCCCCAGCGGCACACCGCCCAGAGCGACACCGACGGCGGGCCCTGCCGAAAACGAGTAGAACGTCCCTCTCCTCCCTCTTCCCTCTTCTTCTCGCTCGTGGTTTGCCACGTCTTGAGAGCCTCTTCTCTTTTGGGCGAGCCGCGGAGACAAAGCTCGGAACGCTTCCTCTCCTCCTCCTCCTCCTCCTCCTCCTCCTCCTCCTCACTCCTCCTCCTCCTCCTCCTCCTCCTCCTCCAACTCCAACTCCTGCTCCTACTCCTACTCATATTCCTCCTCCTGCTCCTACTCCTACTCCTGCGACTACTACTACTACTACTACTACTACTACTACTACTACTACTACTACTACTACTACTACTACTACTACTACTACTACTACTACTACTACTACTGACTACTACTACTACTACTACTACTACTACTACTACTACTACTACTACTACTACTACTACTACTACTACTACTACTACTACTACTACTTCTCCTTCTACTTCTACTACTACTACTACTACTACTACTACTACTACTACTACTACTACTACTACTACTACTACTACTACTACGACTACTACTACTACTACTATTACTACAACTACTACTACTACTACTACTACTACTACTACTACTACTACTACTACTACTACTACTACTACTACTACTACTACTACTACTACTACTACTACTACTACTACTACTACTACTACTACTACTACTACTACTACTACGACTACTACTACTACTACTACTACTACTACTACGACTGGTACGACTACTACGACTACTACGACTACTACTACTACTACTACTACTACTACTACTACTACTACTACTACTACTACTCGTACTCCTACTTCTACCCCTACTCCTACTCCTACTCCTACTCCTACTCCTACTCCTACTGCTACTGCTACTGTTACTACTACTACTGCTACTGCTACTCCTACTCCTACTCCTACTCCTACTCCTACTCCTACTCCTATTCCTACTCCTACTCCAACTCCTACTCCTACTCCTACTCTTCCTCCGCCTCCTCCTCCTCCTCCTCCTCCTCCTCCTCCTTATTCCCCCCCGGAGCGCCACATCGGGCAGGCCCGACGTCGCAAAGAAGAGGAACACCATGAAGACTCAGGACTGGAGCCCAAAGCCCCTTTGTCCTGCAGCACCCCTCGAGCCAGATCGACCCGTGAGGGCCCCGGGCCCCAACGTGGAGCGATAACACCCGGCGCGAAAGAAAGCGCCAGATATCTGGGGGCCCCGCTCTCCCATTGGCACGCCTGAGAATTGCCCCTGGGCAGACAGCGGCCGCTGTTGGGCAGGCGATGTCTGCTCCCAAGTGGATAACGCCCGCGCCGACACCGACAGCAAGCCTTGCTTGAACTGGACAGGAACTTCAGTGGGGGTCGATGCACAAGAAACCCACCGCAAGAAACCCGACCCTGAAATCCTTCGAGGTTTCTTGGCACAGGACGGGTTTCTTGAACTTCGGCTGCAAACGAAGAAACCCAAGGTGACCCCTGGCATTCGCAGTTTCTTCGAGATTGCGGCAACTTCTGCGCCGAACGCCAGCCGAAGAAACCCAGGGAACCCTGATGAAACGTAAAATGTTTCTTATCATGGTCCCCCACTGTGCTGTCGGTCTCCGCCCCCATTCTCCCCGTGCCCCCCAGACCTGCGGCGTCCCACCTTTTTTCGGTACGGGCTCCCCAGAAGTCCCGACCTCCTCCTCAAAGCCGGTTCTGCACGCCGTATCGTTTTCGGACGGCCCCAGGGCCTGGCGAGGGCCCCCCGAGGCCAAAAACTACCAGAATGCGAGGCGGGACCGACGTCCTGGGACCCCAGCGGGCGATGGATGCGGATACCTCTTGGCCCCAGGGGTGCTGACTATATCCGCATCCACCGCCTGCCGAGGTCCCCGAAGATCGATCCCCCAAACGGTGGTTATGTATAGAAGAAGAAGAAGAAGAAGAAGAGGGGGGAACTATCCCGCGAAGGACCCAATCATGTGCAGCTGTGTGTAACCCAGGTGTGGGTATCGTCCTCGGTGAACCTCCCTCTGGGACCACGACGCGTGTGACGGGTGTGCCAAAATTGGCACGGGTACGCCATGCGGACGCTGCCACTGGAGCCGTCGGTGCAGCCCCATCTGAGGCCACGAAACGTGTGAGGGGTGCGCGGAAATGCAGGGTGGAACCACGTGCGGGCGCTGCCACCAGGGTCTTTGGTGGCCGCGAAACGTGGAAGGGGTGCGCCGAAATGGAGGGGGAACTGCATGCGGAACCTGCCACTGGGGCCCTAAGTGGAATACTCCATGGGGCCACGAAAAGTGTGAGGGGTGCGCCGACATGGAAGGGGAACTACATGCGGACCTGCCACGGGGGCCTTGAATGGAGCACCATATGGGGTAACGAAACGTGTGAGGGGTGCGCCGAAATGGAGATGGACCTGCATGTGGAGCCTGCCACTGGAACCTACGGCGGAGCACCCTATGGGGTAACGAAACGTGTGAGGGGTGCGCCGAAATGGAGGTGGAACTGCATGCGGACCCTGTCACTGGGGCCTTCGACGGAGCGCCATATGGGGCCGCGAAATGTGGAAGGGGTGCGCCGAACTGGAAGCGGAACTGCATGCGGACCCTGCCACTGGGGCCTTCGGCGGAGCACCCTATGGGGCCACGAAAAGTGTGAGGGGTGCGCCGACATGGGGATGGAACTGCATGCGGACCCTGCCATGGGGGCTTGGGAGCACCCTATGGGGCCACGAAACGTGTGAGGGGTGCGCCGAAATGGGGTGGAACTGCATGCGGCACCCTGCCATGGGGCCTTCAGCGGAGCATAGGGGGCCACGAAACGTGTGAGAGGTGCGCCGAAATGGAGGTGGAACTGCATGCGGACCCTGCCACTGGGGCCTTCGGCGGAGCACCCTATGGGGCCACGAAACGTGTGAGGGGTGCGCCGACATGGGGATGGAACTGCATGCGGACCCTGCCACTGGGGCCTTCCGCGGAGCACCCTATGGGGCCACGAAACGTGTGAGAGGTGCGCCGAAATGGAGGTGGAACTGCATGCGGACCCTGCCACAGGGGCCTTCGGCGGAGCACCCTATGGGGCCACGAAACGTGTGAGGGGTGCGCCGAAATGGGGGTGGAACTGCATGCGGACCCTGCCACTGGGGTCTTCGGCGGAGCACACCATGGGGCCACGAAACGTGTGAAGGTGCGCCGACATGGGGGTGGAACTGCATGCGGACCCTGCCACTGGGGCCTTGGGTGGAGCACCCTATGGGGCCACGAAACGTGTGAGGGGTGCGCCGAAATGGAAGTGGAACTGCATGCGGACCCTGTCACTGGGGCCTTCGACGGAGCGCCCTATGGGGCCGCGAAATGTGTGAGGGGTGCGCCGACATGGGGGTGGAACTGCATGCGGACACTGCCACTGGGGCCTTCGGCGGAGCACCCTATGGGGCCACGAAAAGTGTGAGGGGTGTGCCGAAATGGAAGTGGAACTGCATGCAGGCCCTGCCTCTGGGGCCTTGGGCGGAGCACCCTATAGGGCCACGAAACGTGGAAGGGGTGCGCCGAACTGGGGATGGAACTGCATGCGGACCCTGCCACTGGGGCCTTCCGCGGAGCACCCTATGGGGCCACGAAATGTGGAAGGGGTGCGCCGAACTGGAAGCGGAACTGCATGCGGACCCTGCCACTGGGGCCTTGGGTGGAGCACCCTATGGGGCCACGAAACGTGTGAGGAGTGCGCCGACATGGGGGTGGAACTGCATGCGGACCCTGCCACTGGGGCCTTGGGTGGAGCACCCTATGGGGCCACGAAACGTGTGAGAGGTGCGCCGAAATGGAGGTGGAACTGCATGCGGACCCTGCCACTGGGGCCTTGGGTGGAGCACCACGAAACGTGTGAGGGGTGCGCCGACATGGGGGTGGAACTGCATGCGGACCCTGCCACTGGGGCCTTCAGCGGAGCACCATATGGGGTAACGAAACGTGTGAGAGGTGCGCCGAAATGGAGGTGGAACTGCATGCGGACCCTGTCACTGGGGCCTTCGACGGAGCGCCATATGGGGCCGCGAAATGTGTGAGGGGTGCGCCGACATGGGGGTGGAACTGCATGCGGACCCTGCCACTGGGGCCTTCGGCGGAGCACCCTATGGGGCCACGAAAAGTGTGAGGGGTGTGCCGAAATGGAAGTGGAACTGCATGCAGGCCCTGCCTCTGGGGCCTTGGGCGGAGCACCCTATGGGGCCACGAAACGTGCGAGGGGTGCGCCGACATGGGGGTGGAACTGCATGCGGACCCTGCCACTGGGGCCATGGGTGGAGCACCCTATGGGGCCACGAAACGTGTGAGGGGTGCGCCGAAATGGAGGTGGAACTGCATGCGGACCCTGCAACTGGGGCCTTGGGTGGAGCACCTATGGAGCACGAAACGCTGTAATGGGTGGGTGAAACGCAGGAGGAGGGAGGAGAAGGGGAGGAGGAGGGAGGAGGGGGAGGAGGGAGGGAGGAGGAAGGAGGAGGAGTGAAAGCGGGGCGCTGTCTCTTCAAAACGAGGACCCAACACCACAGGATGGTTGGGAAAAAAAAACACACACTAAAAACGCCATAAACATAAACTTTTGGCGCTCCGCGCGGATTGATTCTTGGATCTGCGCTGGACCCCCCTCCCTGGCGCGCGGAGCGCGCTAGGGGCGGCGCCGGAGGCGCCGCCAGGGGTGCCCAGCGCGGATCCAAGAATCAATCCGCGCGGAGCGCCTCCACAACGCGAGCACGTCTGCCCCCACTTCGCCCGCGCCGCGAGCCTGGACCCGAGCAGGCCAGTCCGCATGCGCCTCGTCCGCCCCGCCGCGGCCGCGCCCTCCGCCCCGCCGCCCCCGGGCTGCTGCCCGGGCATCCGGCCGCCGGGCGCGGCCCAAGACGTCAGCCGATGTGGTTGTTCCATGGCGCGGCTCCAGGAGAGCCCGACACCTTCCCCGGGGGCATGTCATCATCTTATTCATCGTCATTATCATCAGCAGCATCATCATCACCAGCATCACCACCACCATCATCATCATCATCATCATCATCATCATCATCATCATCATCATCATCATCATCACAATCATCCGCATCATCATCATCAGCAGCAGCATCATCATCACCAACAACAACCACATCACCATCATCAGCAACAACAACAGCATCACGATCATGAACATCCTCAACATCACCATTGTCATCATCGTCATCATGATCACAGCCACCATCATCGTGATCAGCATCGCCATCATCACCACAACCATCATCACACTTAACACCATCATCAACAGCATCACAATCATAATCATCAACATCATCATCATCATCATCATCGACCGCATCAACATCTTCATCATCACCATCATCATGAGCAAGACCGTCGGCATCATCATCATGATCATCAGCATCATGATCATCATCACCATCATCGTCATCCGCATCATCGGAATCGTCATCATGATCCTCGCCATGGCCATCTTCATAATACAGTACCATCATCATGATTGTGTCATCATCATCATCATCGTCACTATTATCATCGTCACTCTAATTATCATGGACATCACCAGAACTGCAATCCTCATATAATCATCATCTCCAGCATCCTGATAGTCGCCATCGTCGACATCCTAATCACACTCAGAACAATCAAAGTCATCAGAATCATCATCATCATCATCATCATCATCATCAGCGTCACCATCACAATGTTCACCATCACCATCACACTCATCATCATCACCATTAGCATCAACAACATCAGTATCATCATCGCCGTCGTCAGCATCATCATCGCCGTCATCGTCATCACCACCATAATAATCACAACCATCATCACAACGATCATCGTTATCATCACCATCATCACCATCATCACCATCATCGTCATCACCATCATCAGCATCATCATCGTAATCGTCAACATTCCCATCATCAACATCATCACAACCGCAATCATAACCATCATTCCTGTCGCCACCATCATCGTCATCATCATCATTCTCGCCATCAGCGTCACCATCATAACCAGTAGCATCACAATCCGCAGCATCATCATCATCCTCACGACCACGATGGCCATCATCACAATCGTCATCACCACCACCACCACCATCATCGTTATAATCGTCACCAGCATCATCACCATCATCCTCAGCATCAGCATCACCTCCCTCAACATCATCACCAGCGTTATCACCATCATCATCATGATCATCATCACCATCGTTACTATCACCATCGTCATCAGCATCACCATCACCACCATCATCATCTTCGCCTTCATCATCGGCATCACAATCCTCATCACCACCGCCATCATCAGGGTCACGTTTATCAGTATCAGCATCACCAACATCAGCATCATGACCGCCTCCAGCATCGTCATCAGCATGGCCGAAATCGTCGTCGTCATCATCATCGTCCTCATCAGCATCATCACCATCATCGCCAGTGTCGGCATGACAACCATCATCGTCACCAACATCAGCATCATGGTCATTATCATCATCAGCGCCATGATCATCATCATCATCAACACCAAACCATCATCAGCATCAGAATCAGCATCGGCATCACCATCACCACCATAATCATCACAATCATCATCATCATCACCATCATCATCCTCATCGCCAGCATTCTCACAGTCAGCATCACCATCACCATCAACAGCATCGTCATCATCATTGCCGTCATCATCACTACCACCATCATCTACAACATCACCATCATCACAGTCATCAACATCATCAGCATCGTCCTCATCATCATTACCACCACCATCATAGAAACTGTCATCATCATCAGCATCCCCATGATCACAACCATCAGCATGAGCATCATTACCATCATCATTACCATCATCATTACCATCATCAGCATGACCACTACATATTCCTCACCAGAATCATCGCCTCACCACCGTCATCATCATTATCATCAGCAGCAGCATCACCGTCATCATCATCCTCGCCATCGTCATTATGACAATCATCAACATCATCAGGATCCTCATCATCATACTCGTGATCATCACCATCATCATAATCACCATCGTCATCAGCATGAGCATCGCCATCATCATCAACGACATCATGATCGTCATCGTCAGCATCGTCATCGGCAACATCATCAGCCTTTACAGCATCAACATCACCATCATCATCAACATCATCACCAACATCATCAGCATCATCATCATCATCCATGTCATCGCCATCGGTATCATCCCGAGTATCAACATCCTCATCGAGGTCCTTAGCATCACCGCCATCATCAAACACTGTAAGCATCATCACAATAACCATCAGCATCGTCATCATCGTCACCATCAGCAACATCAACATGGGCATCGCAATCCTCGCCGCCGGCATCACCATAACCATCATTAATACAAACAACAACACCATCATCGCAATGAGCAGCATCATCGTCAGCGCCGTCACTATCATCACAATCATCATCTGCATCATCGGCATCATGAGTGTCACCATCACCACGAGCATCATCATTGTCGTCGTCATAATCGAGATCAGCACCATCGTCATCAGAATAGTCATCATCAGCATCACCACCATCACCATAATCAGCGTCACCAGTATCACCATTGTCACCATCAGAACCATCGTAACGATCACCATCCTTATCGTCATCATCATCCTCATCATAATCACCATCATGATAACTATCATCATCATCATCATCATCATCATCATCATCATCATCATCATCATCTGCAGGATAATCATTATCACCAGCATCAACATAACCATTATCGACGCGATCGTCATCAGCACCATCATCATCAACGCCATCATCATCATTATCGTCAGCATCATCATCCTCATCATCATCGTCAGCACCATCCCAAACATTATCAGTACCATCATCATCATCATCATCAGAACCATCATGATCAACATCGTCATCATGACCATCATCATCACCAATATCATCGTCAGCATCGTCATCAGCATCGGCAGCATCATCATCATCTTTATCAGCATCAGCATAACCTTTCATCATCATCGCAACCAACACCATTATCATAAGCATCATCAGTATTGTCATCATCATCGGCATCAGCACCATCGTCATGAGAACAGCCATCATCAGCATCATCACCACCATCAACATCATCGACATCACCTTGATCACCACCAGCACCGTCGCAATCATCACCATCATTATCGCCATCATCATCGTCATCAGCATCACCATCATCATCATCATCACCATCACAATCATCTGCAAGAGCATCGTTGTCACCGGCATCAACATAGTTATCGCCAACGCAATCGTCATCATCATCCCCATCATCATCCCCATCATCAACGCCATCATCATCGTCAGCATCATCATCCTCACCATAATCAGTATCACAATCATAATCCTCAGCACCATCCCCAACATCATTAGTACCACCATCATCAGAACCATGATCATCAACATCGTTAGCATGACTATCATCATCACCGACAACATCGTCATCATCGTCATCAGCATCGGCAGCATCATCACCATCTTCATCCGCACCATCATCATCATAACCGCAAGCATCATCACAATCATCACCACCATCACGAGCAGTAGCATTAGCATCGTCAGCATCAGCATCATCATCACAATATTCATCATCGTCATCATTATCATCATCAGCAGCACCACCACCATCATCATCATCATCATCATCATCATCATCATCAGCATCGGCATCATCATCTCCTTTTTCACCCCCATCACCATATCAGCATCACCATCATCATCTTCAGCCACCATCATCAGACTCGTCATCAGCATCATCAGCACCACCATCATCATCATCATCACCATCATCATCACTATTAGCATCATCATCATGATCATTGTCATCATCATTGAAATCATCAGCATCGCCCGAATCAGAATCAACATCATCATCAGCAGCACCATAATCACCATCATGATCGTCATCAACAGAGTCGTAAGCATCGTCAGCATCTCCATTATCAGCATCATCACAACCATCATCGGCACCACGATTCGCATCACCAAATTCACCATCATCAGAATCGTCGTAAAAATCACCAGCGCCATCATCATCAGCAGCAGCATGATCATCATCATCAGCAGCAGCATCATCATCGTCGTCGTCATCATCAGCAGCATGATCAGCATGATCATCATCATCATCGTCATCATCATCCTGATCGTCATCATCAGTATCATCATCATCATCAGCAGTAGCAGCATACTCGTCGCCACCATCATCACCATCACCAGCAGCACCATCATTACCATCATCATCGTCATCATCATGCTTACCATCATCAGAATCACAATATGCATCTTCGTCATTATCATCAGCATCATCTTGATAATGGTTAGTATCACACCCATCGTCATCATCATCATCATCATCATCATCATCATCATCATCATCATCATCATCATCATCACAATCACCATTATCATCATCCTAATCGTCACCATCATCACCTCCATATTCAGCACCATTTCCATCACCACCATCGTCATCATCATCTTCATAATCATCAGCATCATGTTCATCATCATCGTCATCAGTATCAGCATCACCCTCATCATCATCTGCACCATCATCATCATCGTCATTATCATAATCAACAACATCATCGCCATCGTCATCACCATCATCATAATCATCATCATCGTCATCGTTATAATGATCATCACCATCACAATCATCACCAGCATCACGATCATCATCAGCGTCAGCATCATCATCGCCACCATCATCATGGCCATCATTAGCATCATCATGATGGTCATCATCATCATCGTCGTCATCACCACCATGATTATCACAGTCGTCATCACCATCACCACCATCATCAGCATCGTCATGATCAAGATCATCACCATTATCATGATAATCGTCATCATCGTTATCATCGTCACCACCACAATGACCACCATCATCACCGCCCTCATCACCATCGGCATCGTCGTCATCATCTCCATCACCATCAGCATCAGCATCATCATCCTCATTACCATCCTCATCCTCCTCCTCTGCATCATAGTCAGCATCACCACCGTCGTTGATTTGCCCCATGACCCGATGGCGGCCACCATAGGGCCCGAGATCGAGGCAGTGTGCCAGGATGGAACAAAAGAAGCACAAGTAAAAAAACATCGTCGGAGGGCTGGAGCGTGGCCGATTCTGGGGGACCAAAGAATACCGAATACCGCTACTCCACGGACCTCTCCCAGGGTGCGCTTCGACCAGAATTTCGAGGCGACTCCAGCGGTGACGAGGGCCTCCCATCCCAGGGGGGCAAAACATGGGAAAACGCACGAAATGTGGCTTCCCGCTGATGCGTCTGGACATTTTCGCTTGTTCCGTTTTGCTTGCGTCGGGAACTTCAAACCCTCTGCTTACTCTGGTGCGTCGCTCAGGTTGTTGCTGAGGCCGGTCGCCTGTCTCCGCTTGCCCCCCCCCAAGCTCTGGGACACGAGGATCCCTGCACGGCCTAGTTTGACGGGGGACAACGGGCGAAGGGTGGTGGTCCCAGTCCCCCGACGTCGTGATTTGGGGTCTGTACCCCTTCCCCGGAACCGGTTTTTCATCCCGAATCGTTTTGTTGACGGTCCCGAGGCCCGGCAAGGGCACCCGTCGTGGTCTTTTTCACACAGCCGGTCTGGGTAGCTTCAAAGGGGGAACCGGGCGAAGGGTGGCGGTGTGGGTACCTTTGGACGGGTTCCCCCGGGGCCGAAGGCGACCCGAGGAGGGGAGGAGGAGGAGGGGGAGGAGGAGGAGGAGGAGGAGGAGGAGGAGGAGGAGGAGGAGGCGGAGGAGGAGGAGGAGGAGGGGGAGGAGGAGGAGGAGAGGAGGAGGGGAGGAGGAGGAGGGGGAGGAGGAGGAGGAGGGAGGAGGAGGAGTAGGAAGAGGAGGAGATGAGGAGGAGGAGGAGGAGGAGGATGATGATGATGAGGGGGAGGAGGACGATGATGATGAGGAGGACGAGGAGGAGGAGGAGGAGGAGGACGGGTCGCCTAAGCCCTTCGGAGAAACCCTCCGGGGACCTTTTCCTCCCCTGAGGCCCTCCGCTGCCGCGCGGGCCTTCGCCGCCGGCGCGCGGGGGCGCGCACGGGCGCACGGCGCGCACGGCGCCGGGGCGCGCCAGGGCGCGCCAGGGCGCGGCGGCAGCGCGGCGGCAGCGCGGAGGTCGGGCATGTCCTCCTACAGGGGGATCTTGGGCGAAAAATGAAGGGTAGCCAAAAAATAACCCAAAAATGCGCAAAACTACTTTAAGAAATCGTCTCCTGCCTGTTTTTTACTACTTGTTAGTACTCTTCCTATAGAGGGACGTGCCCGACTCCACGGAGGGTGCGCGCCGCCCGCGGCGCGCGGGCACCGCGCGGGCACCGCGCAAGGGGCTCTGGAGGCAGAGCGGCTCGATCCAGGAGGGCCCCGCGTGGAAGGAGGCGTGGGGGCTCCCAGACCCCCTCGGGCTGCGAAAGAAACAAAGCACGGCGGGAGGTGTTTGGTTGGCTATGCGTTTCGGCCTCCGGGGGCCCTCATCACTGAAAACGGCCCAGGACGACACACTGGTCCCCGGGAGGGGTTCCAGACCTCTGGGGGCGGACGTGGCGAAAACATCACGGCGTCGGAGGGCTGGGGTGAAGGGAGGCGTGGAGGCTCGTCGCTGCCCAAGCCTGCGGGTGCGGGCGTCTTGGTTCATTCGAACTCGCGCGGGCGGAAGCTGGCGAACCTGCTGGCCCGCCCGAGGCCGAAGCCACAGCCGAGCCGGTGAGGCAGGCCGCCCTCGAGGAGTCACTGGTGGGCGGCCCCTTGGCCCAGTTGCCGTCTGACCTTGAGCGTGGTCGCTACAGCTACCTGGCCGGTGGGGTCTGGGGTCTCCGCCCTGGCGTTGTAGCCACCCGCCGTCACTCCGTTGCGGCCGTGAGGTCTTGGCTGAAGCGAAGACGAGCCTCCAAGTCCTGACTGCGGTGAAGGCGGGCCCTCACCTACGACAACGACGACGACGACGAGGACGACGACGACGACGAAGACGACGACCACAAGGAGGCGGAGGAGGAGGAGGACAGGAGGAGGACGAGAAGGAGGTGCACCATCAGATCTAGGCGTTGCAATTGTTGCGCAGCGGGCAGTTCCGCCAGGGTTCAGGTCTCGGGACCCTCACAGATCGATCTGGCTCTAAAAGTGGCGCAGAAAGATGGGGTCCGTGTCTCCACTGGTGGTTGTTTGTGATGTTGCAATGTTCTGCAGCGTCAGATCTGATGGGAGGAAAAAGACAGGAGGAGGCGGAGGAGGAGGTAGAAGAGGAGCGGGGAGGTATGAGGATGGCTTTGCTGAAAAGTTAGACGAGGTGCTGGGAAGCGACCCCCTTCCTATTTTGACGCGTGAGGGGGATGGCCATGCGTGAAGGGAGCGGAAGAGGAGGTGGAGGAGGACGGGAGGAAGCGGGGTAGGACCTGGAGGAACGAACTCCAGTACAGCGAGAACTGTCCCGACTATGGGGATGGGCGTATAGCGACGCAGCGCTCAGTGCGTCTTCTCGGCGAAACCTCCTTGAAGATGATGGCTGTCGCTGTCTTTGAGGATGGTGTGCCGATTCTCTAGTGTGGCTTCGAAACTGTGCCTTCTAATACTTAAACCGGTCGTCGCCCCATCTTTTCTGTGGCCGGCAGGATGGTCTTCCTTTCCTGCGTCGGTCCGGGGCACAGGCGAATCCTAAGTTGCTGGAACTTGGGCACCTCAGCACCAGCAGCAGAATTTGCGTTCATGCCGATTTGGAGTGCACGCCGTTGGCCTACGGTGCTCATGATCGAGGGCCCGTCGACACCACCATTGCCACCGACCTTGGCAACCCAATTTTCCAGGGTGAGGCTCGGTGCGGGGGCTGGTTCGGCCCCACGCCCCTGAAGGCGGCCTGGGAACCTTGGAACCCCTTTGAGTGAAGGGGCTGAGGGACACGGACATATACACCCAAATCCTAGGATCCCCTATCTCTTCTCACATGTTCTTGATCTAGGAGGAGGAGGAGGAGGAGGAGGAGGAGGAGGAGGAGGAGAGAAGCAGGGGGAGGAAGAGGAGGAGGAGGAGGAGGAGGAAGCGGAGGAGGAGGAGGAAGCGGAGGAGGAGGAGGAAGCGGAGGAGGAGGAGGAAGCGGAGGAGGAGGAGGAGGCGGAGGAGGAGGAGGGGGAGGACCCCCCCCCACACTTCCAATATCTTCCCATCTTTTCGCGGGGATCGACGACCCTCTGTGTGCTTGCCCCTCCTGACGGAAGCCCCTCCCCGGTCCCCGAGGGGCGCACCCCCCTCGACCCGCGCGGGGCCGTGCAGGGTGGGGCGCCTCGCCCCGCCGCCGCGGCCTCTCTCCCGGTCTCCTGCCCCTCGCGCCCTGGCTCCTGCTGCCCCCGGCGGTGCGGCGGGGGGCCCGGGGACACACAGACAGATGGACACAGGTCCCAGGAGTCTCCCCATACAGTCGGGGCGTTGACCTCAGGAACCCTAAATAAGGAACGAGGCCCCTTTTCCCACAAGCTCAACTTCGATTCCCCATGGAAGACCGCAGGAAAACAGAAGGCAAACTGTCGAACAATCAAGGAACACCGAGCCCCTCCCCAACGAAAAGGGTTCCTTCTTCAGCGCCCCGACTGTATATCTCCCCCTAATTTCTGGGTTCTCGTCCTCCCCCCCCCCGCGTCCCACAGCTTCCCGCATGTTCTGGGGAATCGGCGATTGCGTGTGTCTGCGTGTTTCCCCATCTCCGGAGATGGGGTTCTTGTCATTACTTGGACGCCTCCTACCCCCTCTTCTTCTCCTCCCCTCCTCTTGGACTTACTCATACTAAGACTTACTCATACCCAGATTTACTCATACACAGACTTGCTCATACTGATCCATACTCATACTCAGACCTACTCATACTCAGACTTACTCATACCCAGACGTACACATACACAGACATACTCATACGCAGACTTACTCATACCCATACTTACTCATACCCAGGCGTACTCTACACAGACTTACTCGTACAAAGACTTACTCATACTCAGACACACTCATACTCAGACCTACTCATACTCAGACTTACTCAGATTCTGAGGATGTCTAAGGCGGGGCGCTGGTTTCAGCACCCCTACGGGGAGCCGCCAGGGGTGTTTTCACGGGCCCGTTCGAAGCCAGTTTGTGGGGATGTCTCAGGCGGGTTGCCTCTTTCGGTGCCCAACATCGTCTGCGACTACAGCAGATTTGGAGGATGTCTCAGGCGGGGCGCTGGTTTCAGCACTCCTGAGGGGAGCCGCCAGGGGGTATATCACGGGCCCGTTCGCGGCCAGTTTGTGGGGATGTCTCAGGCGGTTTGCCTCTTTCGGTGCCCAACATCATCGGCGTCTACAGCAGATTTGGAGGATGTATCAGGCGGGGCGCTGGTTTCAGCACTCCTGAGGGGAGCCGCCAGGGGGTATATCACGGGCCCTTTCGCGGCCAGTTTGTGGGGATGTCTCAGGCGGTTTGCCTGTTTCGGTGCCCAGCATCGTCTGCGATTACAGCAGATTTGGAGGATGTCTCAGGCGGGGCGCTGGTTTCAGCACTCCTGAGGAGCCGCCAGGGGTGTTTTCACGGGCCCCATTCGAGGCCAGTTTGTGAGGATGTCTCAGGCGGTTTGCCTCTTTCGGTGCCCAACATCGTCTGCGTCTACAGCAGATTTGGAGGATGTCTCAGGCGGGGCGGTGGTTTCAGCACTCCTGAGGGGAGCCGCCAGGGGGTATATCACGAACCCTTTCGCGGCCAGTTTGTGGAGATGTCTCAGGCGGTTTGCCTGTTTCGGTGCCCAACATCATCGGCGACTACAGCAGATTTGGAGGATGTCTCAGGCGCGGCGCTGGTTTCAGCACTCCTGAGAGGAGCCGCCAGGGGGTATATCACGGGCCCGTTCGCGGCCAGTTTGTGGGGATGTCTCAGGCGGTTTGCCTGTTTCGGTGCCCAGCATCGTCTGCGATTACAGCAGATTTGGAGGATGTATCAGGCGGGGCGCTGGTTTCAGCACCTCTAAGAGGAGCCGCCAGGGGTGTTTTCACGGGCCCGTTCGCGGCAAGTTTGTGGGGATGTCTCAGTAGCTTATGTCTCGTGAGGGGCGCGCTATTATAGTCAAACGCTCATGAACAGACGCTCACTACGGCATGACATAAAACATGAGATGCACATATGGGGAGCTCCACGCAGTGAGTAATTCCCTCCCGGCGTACGGCAGGTTCGCGTCGTGACGACCCTGGCGTTGGCTTCTGACACCGCGTGGATCGTTGATCCTTGAACGATCGACCGTCCCCGCAGCGTCCAATCGTTCAGCATCGACCGATTCTGGGTCGCCGCCGGAGTTCAACGTTGAACGCCGCTGGCGGGATCGCCGCCGCTCGACACGACGCGAAGGTTCGCGTCGTGTCGAAACAATTCTCTGAGCACCCCGAGAAGTGTCGAAACAGTGTCTGCCCGACGCGCCGGCGAAGTGTCGGACGAGCACATCGCCTCCCAGGGCCCGACACGTGAGAACCCTCCACAGTTGGTGCTTCAGGAGGAGGAGGAGGAGGAGGAGGAGGAGGAGGAGAAGGAGGAGGAGAAGGAGGAGGAGGATGAGGAGGAGGAGAAGGAGGAGGAGGAGGAGGAGCGCTCTGGTACCCTGGCCGCCCTCCCTTCGCACCCTCTCCTCGAGTGTTGCCAGAGGTACACCTGGTGCCTCCAGCTGTTCGCTCCATTTTGGAGCCCCCCGGGGCCCTCGGAGCCTCGTCACGCCCCCCACCCCCCAAAGGCCTCCGTCAAGCCAGTTCACCAAGGCCAAGCCAGCGAAACCCAGCACCTGCATGTCGCGCCGGGTGATCTTCGGCTCCAGGAACATGCCAAGGAGGTTGCCCCCGATGCTACAGATGCTCTGGACGAACCCGCCGACCCCTGCCTCGCTGGGGTGACAAGGCGTGTGAGATTTGGGGCCGTCACCCCAAACCCCCCCTCCTTCCACGACGAACCTGGCGGGGCCCAAGCGGGGCGCCAGGAGGAGCCAAGCAGGGCCCAACGGGCGCCCCGAAGAAGCGCGTTAAGACCATACGCCACATCCCCGCCGA